GTAGCTCCATGCAGAGCATTGTAGACATAGAAATTTGCAAAATACATACGGATCTGAATGTGGCAAACCCGTTGACTAAACTTCTCTCACAAGCAAAACATGATCACACCTTAGTACTCTTTGGGTGTTAATCACATAGCAATTTGAACTAGATTATTGACTCTAGTAACCCTTTGGGGGTTGGCCACATGGCTATGTGAACTATGGGTGTTAGTCACATAAAGATGTGAACTATTGGCGTTTAATCACATGGCGATGTGAGCTAGATTATTGACTCTAGTGCAAGTGGGAGACTGAAGAAATATGCCCTAGAGGCAATAATAAAGTTGTTATTTTATATTTCCTTATATCATGATAAATGTTTATTATTCATGCTAGAATTGTATTAACCAGAAACTTGATACATATGTGGATACATAGACAAAACACCGTGTCCCTAGTAAGCCTCTACTAGACTACCTCGTTAATCAAAGATGGCTAAGTTTCCTAACCATAGACATGTGTTCTCATTTGATGAACGGGATCACATCATTAGGAGAATGATGTGATGGACAAGACCCATCCGTTAGCTTAGCATAATGAGCGTTAAGTTTTATTGCTATTGCTTTCTTCATGTCATATACATATTCCTTTGACCATGAGATTATGCAACTCCCGGATACCGGAGGAATACCTTGTGTGCTATCAAACATCACAATGTAACTGGGTGATTATAAAGATGCTCTACGGGTATCTCTGAAGGTGTTTGTTGGGTTGGCATAGATCGAGATTAGGATTTGTCACTCCGAGTATCGGAGAGGTATCTCTTGGCCCTCTCGGTAATGCACATCATAATAAGCCTTGCAAGAAATGTGACTAATGAGTTAGTTGCCGGATGATGCATTACAAAACAAGTAAATAGACTTGCCGGTAACGATATTGAACTAGGTATGAAGATACCGACGATCGAATCTCGGGCAAGTAACATATCGATGACAAAGGGAATAATGTATGTTGTCATTACGGTCTGACCGATAAAGATCTTCGTAGAATATGTAGGAACCAATATGAGCATTCAGGTTCCTCTTTTGGTTATTGACCGGAGAGGTGTCTCGTTCATGTCTACATAGTTCTCGAACCTGTAGAGTCCGCACGCTTAACGTTCGATGACGATTTTGTATTATATAAGTTATGTGATTTGGTGACCGAATGTTGTTCGGAGTCCCGGATGAGATCACGGACATGACGAGGAGTCTTGAAATGGTCGAGAGGTAAAGATTCATATATGGGACGATAGTATTCGGACACCGAAAGTGTTCTGGGGGTACCGGGTACATATCGGGTCACCGGAAAGGGTTCCGGACAACCCCCGGCAAGCTATATGGGCCTAATGGGCCAAGAGGGGAAACACACCAGCCACAAATGGGCTGGTGCGCCCCCCCCCCCCATATGGGCTGGCCAAATTGGAGAAAGAAAGGGGAAGAAGGAAAGGAAAACGGGAATAGGATTCCCCCTTCCCCCTCTTCCCTTCCTACTCCGAATAGGAATAGGAAAGGGGGGAGGCCGAATTGGGAGGACCCCAAGTAGGATTCCTCCTACTTGGGGCGCCCCCTTGGCTGCCTCTCCTCACCTCCAACCTATATATATGTGCGGGGGGGCACCGCTAGAACACACACCAAACATTATTAGCCGTATACGGCGCCCCCTCCACAGTTTGCGCCTTCGGTCATATCTTCGTAGTGCTTAGGCGAAGCCCTGCGTAGTTCACTTCACCATCATTGTTACCACGCCATTGTGCTAACGGAACTCTCCCTCGACACTTTGCTGGATCAAGAATTCGAGGGACGTCATTGAGCTGAACGTGTGTAGAACTCGGAGGTGTCGTACGTTCGGTGCTTGATCGGTCGGAACGAGAAGAAGTTCGACTACATCAACCGCGTTGTCAAACGCTTCCGCTTTCGGTCTACAAGGGTACGTAGACACACTCTCCCCCTCTCGTTTCTATGCATCTCCAAGATAGATCTTGTGTGAGCGTAGGAAATTTTTGAAATTGCATGCTATGTTTCCCAACAACGGGACCTACGGGTCTATAGTAGTAGCTAGATGACTCTCTTTCTCTCTTTTTGATCTTCAATACAATGATCTCTTTGGAGATCTACTAGATGTAATTCTCACAATGTGTTTCTTGAGATCCGATGAATTATGGGTTTATGATCAGATTATTCATCGAAAGTATTTGAGTCTTTTTTTATTTATTTACACGTGATTTTGTAGCCTTGTATTTTCCCTGATCTATCTATCTCTTTTGGCGAATTAGATTGATTTATCTTCACTAGGAGAGGTGCTTGGTAGTTGGTTCAATCTTGCAGTATCCTTACTCTGTGACAGGGGGAGTTGCAAGGCACATATTTATATTGTCACTACTAAGGATAAAACGATGAGGTTCGAACATATTAATTGATTTTATATCATCATGCTTAAAGCGTTAATCTGTTTGTCATGAACTTAATACTCGAGATGCATGCTGGATAACGATCTTGGGGTGGAGTAATAGTAGTACATGCACAGGGATTTCCGGTCTACTTGTCACGGGCGTAATGCCTATATATTGATCGTGCCATGAAGAATCATCATAACTATGCGCTATTTCATCAATTGTCAAATAGTAATTTGTCTACCCACTGTTGCCATGCCCATGAGACAGATGCCTCTAGTGAACCTGTGGGCCCCGGGTCCATCTTCTATATTTACTAAAACCCTAAAGGTGTGTTTGGTAGCATTGCCAACCAAGTATTCTTGTTCTTCTCTAATACATGTTGAGTGCAGACATGCAGAGTACATGCATTTGTTGTTGTTTAGTAGCAGTATATGTGCTAATACATGCTAGGTGAGGCTCTGTTTGGCAGCTTGCATCTATTTAGACACGTCGGATGGTACTGTAGCAATTGGTATTTTCAAATAAGTGAACAAAATATTTCAAAAATGTTAACAAATGTTTACACTTGAAAAAATAACATTTCTTAAAATTCTGGAAACTTTTTTTTGAATTTGAGACAAATTTTGAAAGTTTGACCATTTTAAAATTTTATTCTTTTAAAAAAATCTAAATATTTTTTGAAAATCTGAACATTTTTAAAAATTCTAACAATTTTTGAATTTCTAGCTTTTTTTGAAACTTTTAACACTTTTTCAAAATCTGGACAATTTTTTAAAATTTTAACATTTTGAAAATCTAGACAGTTTTAAAAGGTAACAAAATTTGAAAATCTAGAGATTTTTTTGAAAATTTGAACAAATTTTATAAATCTGAATATTTTTTTGTATTCTGAACATTTTTTAAAAGAAATTCTGGATATTTTTAAAAATACGTTATTGCTTGCTTCGCTCATGCATGCTGACCAGCCAACGGCTGTTGGGGTGTTCCCTCTTCTTGAATGCTACGAGGGTATTTAGACTGAGCTCGTGCATGCCCAGGAGGCCCAGTGCTGGCTACCAAACACCCAAAATTGAGTCGAGGAGGGAACTTTTGAGCTCATGCACACTCCATGCGCTACCAAATACACCCTAAACTTCCTCGTTGTTTTTGTTTTGTTTTTATATTATTTTATCTATCTGCCACTATCATATCAATACTTGCAATTGGCGGGAACAAGCGGGATTGACAACCCTCTTGTCTTTGTTGGGTGCAAGCATATGCTTTGTGAGTGTGCAGGTACCACTTACTTTGTTTGTCGAGTGTCTCTACTGGTTCGATAAACCTTAATTCTTAACTAAAGGAAATACTATATGCTACTATACTACATGACCCTTTCTCTTTACAGAAATCCCAACACCATCACAAGTAGTAGAAAAAAATTTGGTGTTCTTGCTGAGGAGGCTTCGCCATCACAAATACAGGTACCTTCGCTCACATTTATCAATTTGCTTGTTTTTACTTCCTTTGGCATTTGCCTTTTTATTTGCCGATGCAAGTTGTTCCGCACGCCGCTGCAGCAGTCAAACAAAGCACGGCTCGAGCCACGATCCCGCAATGAAACTCGTTGCTCGCAGCGAGTCTAAGGGCCAGTTCTTTTGGGCAATTCTCTTAGAATTGACCCCCTTCACAGCTTCTTCTAGAATTGCCATTTCATTTTTTTACAATTCCTAGCTAGTTAAGGTCTAATTAGTTAGGAGTTGTAAAAAAATATGAAGTGACAATTCTGAAAAAAGCTGAGGAGGAGGTCAATTCTGGGTCCAAAAGAACTGGCCCTAAACCATTGCGGATTTGGCACGCGCTCCCCCCTCCTCGATCCCCCACCCACGTTATTTTTCCTTGACACCGCTGAGAGCACTTCGCACGGAAGCAGCGATGTGCCGCATTCCCGACTTGTACCGTGTCCATGGCTACCCCACTAACCGTCGGGCCGAGTGGTGGATTTGGAGTCGAGCTGGTTCCCGTTGCGTGACCGAGGTTTCATTCGTTGTGTGTGAGCTATCTGAAGAAATACTACGAAGAAACTGAATCTCACCCGCTCTCTTTGTTTGTGGAACACCTATGTTCAGTTTCTGACAGAAAGATGGCAATCTGGGGCCAAATTTATCGACGGAGCCCGAAGCATACAAGGCGCAAATTTGGCCAACTAAATTTTCCATCATCTATTTTGGGTAACTAACTACTCCATCCGGGAAGGGAACGCTGCCCAGGAGTAGGGATATCTAACAAATTATAAGCAGAGGACACCCAAAACTGCTATTCCCCATTATCAAACTGACGACGCGTGCTAGCGAACCGAGAAGGTGAAACTGAATATCAGAAAGGCATAAACAGAGGTTCAGAAAATACAGAAATCGGGTAATAAATCTGCAATTTCATTTCATCTCCGGAAACCTAACAATTTCATAGAGTTACACACCACACGCGATACATAGAAACTGCCTAGCAGAATCGAGACCTGCATCAGGGAGGACGAGGCGTCCTTTTTGTACATACCCTGAACACAAACACACCAAGCACAACTAAAACACATCGCCATCGGACCAGATCAAGCGGCGGCGACTTTGCGGCCCTTCTTGGCGGCCGGGGAGCGGACGGTCTTGGGCTTCGCCTTGGCCTTGGCCGCGGGCGACTTCTTGGCCTTGGCGACCAGCGTCTTCTTCTCCGGCGCCTTGCGCTTCGTGCCAGCAGCGGCGGCGGCGGCCTTCTTGGGCTTCGCGGCCGCCTTCTTCTTGGGCTTGGCGGCATCCTTTGCGGGCTTCGCCGCGGCCTTGGGGGCGGCAGGCTTGGCCTTGGGCTTGGGCTTGGGCGCGTCCTTCTTGGCGGCGTCGGAGAGCTTGTAGGAGGCCTTGACCTTGACGAGCTTGCCCTTGGAGGCGGACGCGCGGAGCTGGACGGAGAGCATCTTCTTGAAGTTGGCCGGGAGGGACTTGCCGTGCTTCTCCTCGATGTACTTGGCGATGGCGACCGAGCTGGACCCGGTCCTGTCCTTGAGCGCCGCGATCGCCTCCTTGATCATCTGCCAAGATCGAAATCAAGATCCAGTCAGCCCCAATCGCAAACCGAAACGAACGAATCTGAGAGATGCAGAGGATTTAACAGGAGAGGCTCGGGCGCTCACCTCGAAGTAGGCCGGGTGGGAGGGGCCGGCGGCGACCTTCTTCGGCTTGGCGGCGGAGGGCTTCGCCTTCGGTGCGGCGGCGGCGGGCTTGGCGAGGGCAGGCATGGTGGCCAACTGAAGCGGAGCTCTGAAACTGAAACTGCTACTTGTGCTGAGCGCGCGTGAAATTTTCGGAGGAGAGTTCGAGTGGTGGATGAATTTGGGAGCACCGGGTCGGGGATTATTTATACCCGCAGAGGGGGCGATCCGGGGGATGGGAATGCTGCGATCTCATTGGTTGGAGCGGGAGTGCCGCGGATCGCGAGCAGCGACGGGAAGGATCGGCCGAAAGCGCAAAGTATACCAGGTCACGAGGTAGGACCTGGAGCTGAGCTGTAATGCTGATTGGGTAGCTTTAGAAAAACTATCGTGCCAAATTTTGACATTATTTTCACTAATAAAATTTAATACATGTCATAAAAAAATATAATTAAAAATATGTTCAAATATGAATCCAATGATATAAAATTTTATGACATGCATTAATATTGCCGAATGTTAACGCCCACACTTGTGGGCGTTCACCATCCCGACCACACACAAACATCTCCGTTGACAACTGTGTGCACGAATCTTGGAACAAACCGGCCGGTTTTCTGCGCCACATAGGACGAGGCGCATGTGCGGTGTGCGAGTCAGTTCGCCCGCATGTTGGTTGCCATCCCGCGGTCAGCGGTTGCCACTCGGAGGCGTGCGGTGGAACTGCTATGCGCCCGCACGCCACGCTCCGATCGCGGTTGACGTCAAACACGTCGCACGCCTCTGCCCCCTCTCCCTCACGGTTCCATTTACTCACCCGCACCGCAGTTACTGGCACAACCCACTCGCATTTCAAACCATTGGAGGAGAAGGCGACGGCGGAGGCGGAAGAATCGACGGTGTTCGCGGCCGTCGATGGGGCTCGCCGGAACGGAGCGGCTTCGCCGGAGCGCCTGCGGGTTGAAGGTAATGCTCACTACAACTCTTGCAATCCCTTCCTGCATTTTTCCCCCTTCCCTCCCTGTTCGATTCCTCGATCGAGATTCGTAGAGATTCAGGCGATTCGGCGATGTGTCGGTGTTCCCGCCGGCGCCGAAGTCGTCTGCTAGCCGTTTTTGGTGGCACTGGGCAGTTTCGTCGCGGCCGCGGCAGCGGCATCGTCGATGTGGTTATGCCTGTTCGGAGGCACGCACTAGTCTTGCCTATGGATTGGGCAGGTGTCTCCCGGTTTGTTTGAAGCGCATTGGTTCGAATTTGTGTTTGCAGTCAGTTCGTGGGAGAATTTTGAGGGTGAATTTTAAGTCGCGGTAGTTGCCATTGAACCCTAGATCTAGTTAGTTGGGTTTTGAAACTGTAGTATGAGGCGAACTTGATAGTTTCATTAACTATCATGATTGTGTGGCAACTAACTCCCTGAACAAATGTGATAGTTGCCACAAACGTGTTTTCCCTTGCGGCAACAAATTACTGAAATGACTGTGTTAGTTGCCACATATAAGCTTTCGCATGGGGCAACTATTTTTATTGAATGACTGTGATAGTTGCCATACACACGCTCTTCCATGTGGCAACTAAATTTGCTGAATTACTGTGATAGTAGCCACAAACATGCTTTTTCATTGTGGCATCTAATTTTTCTGAATGATTTGTGATAGTTATCACACTGTGATAGTTGCCAAAATCGGTAGTCAATGCAGTTTCAGGATGCTACCACTGTTGTAGCGCGGGATTCGGCTATAGGTCGAAGGGCTGCTGAGGGAGTCCTGGATTAGGGGTGTTCGGATAGCCGAACTATACCTTCAAGCTAGACTCCTGGACTATGAAGATACAAGATTGAAGACTCCGTCCCGTGTCCGGATTGGACTTTCCTTGGCGTGGAAGGCAAGCTTGGCGATACGGATGTTCAGATCTCCTACCATTGTAACCGACTCTATGTAACTCTAACCCTATCTGGTGTCTATATAAACCGGCGGGTTTTAGTCCGTAGGACAACATACACATCAACAATCATACCATAGGCTAGCTTCTAGGGTTTAGCCTCTCTGATCTCGTGGTAGATCAACTCTTGTAATACCCATACCATCAATATTAATCAAGCAGGACGTAGGGTTTTACCTCCATCGAGAGGGCCCGAACCTGGGTAAAACTTCGTGTCCCCTGCCTCCTGTTACCATCCGGCCTAGACGCACAGTTTGGGACCCCCTACCCGAGATCCGCCGGTTTTGACACCGACATTGGTGCTTTCATTGAGAGTTCCTCTGTGCCATCGCCGTCAGGCCCGATGGCTCCTACAATCATCAATGGCGATGCGGTCCAGGGTGAGACCTTCCTCCCCGGACAGATCTTCGTCTTTGGCGGCTTTGCACTGCGGGCCGATTCACTTGGCCATCTAGAGCAGATCGAAAGCTATGCCCCTGGCCGTCAGGTCAGATTCGGAAGTTTAAACTACACAGCCGACATCCGCGGGGACTTGATCTTCGACGGATTCGAACCACTGCCGAGCGCGCCGCACTGTCTCGACGGGCATGATCTAGCTCTGCCGCCGAACAGTGCCCTGGAGGCCGCACCTACATCGGCTCCGGCCCCTGGTTCGGAGCCGACCGCGCCGATCGAGGATGGGCGGTTGGACGCCGCCTCGGGGGCTGTGATCCCAATGGCGGTTGAGCCGAACACCAGCCCCGCACTCTACAAGACTCGTGACTCCATGGAGTCGGATTCTTCTCTGGACTCCGAACCCTCCACGCCCCTGCCGAGCGAATCCGATTGGGCGCCGATCATGGAGTTCACGGCCGCGGACGTCTTTCAGCACTCGCCTTTCGGCGATATCCTGAAATCACTGAAGTCTCTCTCTTTGTTGGGAGAGCCCTGGCCGGACTACGGTCAGCGAGGTTGGGGCACGGACGATGAAGAAATTCAAAACCCACCCACCACCCACTTTGTAGCCACTGTCGACAGCTTAACCGACACGCTCGACTTCGACTCCGAAGACATCGACGGTATGGACGCCAATGAAGGAGATGATGAAGAACCAGCGCCTACTAGGCCCTAGAAAGCCACCTCGTCATATGACATATACATGGTGGACACCCCAAAAGAGGGAGAGGGCGATGGAACAGCAGAGGATGACCCCTCCAAGAAACAGCAAAAGCGTCGGCGTCAGCGGCGCTGCTCAAAATCCCGCCAACACAAAAAGGGCGATTCCAGCACCGGAGATAATAATACCCCGGAAAGCACCGAAGGAAATCCCCCGAGCAAGATTTAGCACATGAGGATGGAGAAACCAGCCCTCATGAGAGAGCGGCCGAAAAAGAGCTCGAGGACGATAATTGTATGCCTCCCTCCGAAGACGAGGCAAGCCTCGACGACAACGAATTCGCCGTGCCGGAGGATCCCGTCGAACAAGAGCATTTTCAACGCAGGCTTATGGCCACGGCAAGAAGCCTCAAGAAAAAACAGCAGTAGCTTAAAGCTGATCAAGATCGGCTAGTTGATAGATGGACTGAAGTCCTCGCGGCCGAAGAGCATAAACCCGAACGTCCCTCCAAGTGCTACCCGAAGCACAGGTTGCTACCCCGGTTAGAGGAGGAAGCACTCGACGCGGCCGATAGGCCACCTCGTGGCCGCGACAGAGAGGCCTCATGGCCCTCCACCCAAGCCGCGCCCCGTACCAAGGCGCGGGAATATGCGCGGGACTTACGAGACATGTTGGAGGACAAGGCAAGGCAAACAAGATCGATCTACGGACCGCGTAGGCGCCCCACGGCTCGAGACGATAATCGTCACGCCAACCACAAATTTGGCAGGGCCAAACATAGTAGACATAGCTCATTGGAGCTACGTCATGATATCGCCCAGTACAGAGGCGCCGCACACCCATTGTGCTTCACAGACGAAATAATGGATCACCAAATCCCCGAGGGTTTCAAACCCATAAACATTGAATCATATGACGGCTCAATAGATCCCGCGGTGTGGATCGAGGATTATCTCCTTCATATCCATATGGCCCGCGGCGATGATTTCCATGCCATCAAATACCTCCCACTCAAGCTTAAAGGACCAGCCCGGCAGTGGCTTAACAGCCTGCCAACAGGGTTAATCAGTTGTTGGGAGGACCTGGAAGCCGCATTCCTTGACAATTTCCAGGGCACCTATGTGCGACCCCCAGACGCTGACGACCTAAGCCACATAATTCAGCAGCCAGACGAATCATCCAGGCAATTCTGAACACGGTTCCTAACAAAGAAAAATCAAATACTCGACTGTCCGGACGTAGAGGCCTTAGCAGCCTTCAAGCATAATATCTGTGACGAGTGGCTTGCCCGGCACCTAGGACAGGAGAAGCCGAAATCTATGGCAGCACTCATGGCACTCATGACCCGCATTTGCGCGGGAGAGGACAGCTGGCTTGCTCGTAGCAACAATATGATCAAGAACCCTGGTAGTTCGGACATCAGGGACGTTAGTGGCAGGTCACGTCACAACCAACAGAAGCGCCGCATCAATGGCGACAATGCTAAGGATACGACAGTTAATGCCGGATTCAGAGGCTCTAAATCCGGTCAGCGGAAAAAATCATTCAAAAGGAATCCTAGGGGGCCATCCAGCTTGGACCGACTACTCGACCGCTTGTGCCAAATACACGGCACCCCCAAAAAGCAAGCCAATCACACCAACAGGGATTGCTGGGTGTTCAAGTAGGCAGGCAGATTAAGCGCTGACAATGAAGACAAGGGGTTGCATAGCAATGACGAGGAGGAGCCCCAGCCGCCGAACAACAATGGACAGAAGGGTTTTCCCCCACAAGTGTGGACGGTGAACATGATATACGCCACCCACGTCCCCAAAAGGGAGCGGAAGCGCGCGTTAAGGGACGTATACGCGGTAGAGCCAGTCGCCCCAAAGTTCAACCCATGGTCCTCCTGCTCAATCACCTTTGATCGAAGCGACCACCCCACTAGCATCCGTCATGGCGGATTCGCCGCATTGGTTCTCGACCCAATTATTGACGGATTTTATCTCACTAGAGTCTTTATGGACGGTGGCAGTAGCCTGAACCTGCTTTACCAGGATACAATGCGAAAAAT